ACGATGAAGTCGATGGTTTTCCATTTGCCTATCGTACTCGTCGAATACCCTTCAAAGTCGTCTCATACGGTTACTGTCATCGTATCTGCTTCAACTCTATGCATGTCAGATGTTAGACTGCAGAGTTACATTGTCAACATAGTCGATGTCGAAGTTTCTTGTTCTGCAAGCTGTGTGCGTTATACCTGCTCGGATGTCGTCTTATATGGTCAATGCGAACTTGTCTGCTTCAATAGTGTCCATGTGAGATGATAGGATGGAGAGATAAGGTGTGTACGACGATGGAGTCGATGTATCCCCATTTGCCTGATGTACTCGCTATATACCCTTCAGAGTCGTTTCATACGAACACCGCCATCGTATCTGCTCTAACTGTATGCATGTCAAATACTGGACTGCAAAGTTACAGTGGAGACAAAGTCAAAGTCGGAGTTTTTTTTCTGCAAGCTGTGTGCGTAATACCCGTTTGGAAGTCGTCTTATATGGTCGATGCGAACTTGTCTGCTTCGATTGTGTCCATGTGAGATGATAGGATAGAGAGATGACGTGTGTACGACGATGAAGTCGATGTATCCCCATTCATCCGATGTACCCGCTATATACCCTTCAAAGTCGTCTCATACGATCATCGATATCGCATCTGCTTCAACTGTATGCATGTCAAATGCTGGAATGCAAAGTTACAGTGGAAACATAGTCAAAATCGGAGTTTTTTGTACTGCAAGCTGTGTGAGTAATACTTGCTTGAAAGTCGTCTGATATGGTCAATGCAAACTTGTCTGCTTCAATAGTGTCGATGTAAGATGATAAGATAGGGAGATATAGTGTGCAGAACGATGGAGTCGATGTATCTCCATTCGACTATCGTACTCGTTATGTATCCTCCAATGTCGACTGATACGGTCACTGCAATTGTATATGCTTCATCTGTATGCAAGTCAGATGCTAGACTGCAGATTTACAGTGTAAACATAGTCGAAGTCGAAGTTTCTTGTTCTGAAAGCTGTGTGCGATATTCACGCTTGGGAGTCGTCTTATATGGTCAATGCAAACTTGTCTCCTTCAAAGTCATATACGGTCACTGCCATCGTATCTGCTTCCCAAGTTCAATGTGAACTTGTCTGCTTCAATAGTGTCCATGTGAGATGATAGGATAGAAAAATATAGTGTGCACAACGATGAAGTCAATATATCCTCATTTGCCTTTTGTACTCGCTATATACCCAAAGTCGTCTAAAACCCTTCAGAGTCGTCTTATACGGTCACTGCCATCGTATCTGTTCCAACTGTATGCATGTCATATGCTTGACGGCAGAGTTACAGTGTAAACATAGTCGAAGTCGAAGTTTCTTGTTGTGCAAGTTGTGTGCGTTATATCCGCTTGGAAGTCGTCTCATATTGGCATCGGGAAGTCGTTCGCTTCAATAGTATCCATGTGAGATGATAGAATAGAGATATAGACTGTGCACACCGATGAAGAGGATGTATCTTCATCTGCCTATTGTACTTGCTATATACCCTTCAAAGTCGTCTTATGAGGTCACTTCGATCATATCTGCTTGAACTGTATGCATGTCAGATGCTAGACTGCAGAGTTACAATGTGAACATAGTCGAAGTCGAAGTTTCTTTTTCTGCAAACTGTATGCGTCATACCCGCTTGGAAGTCGTCTCATATGGTCAATGCGAACTTGTCTGCTTCAATAGTGTCCATGTGAGATGATAGGATAGAGATAAATAGTGTGTACGACGATGAAGTCGTTGTATCTCCATTTGCCTTTTGTACTCGTTATATACCCTTCAAAGTCGTCTTATACGGTCACTGTTATCGAATCTGCTTCAACTGTATGCATGTCAGATGCTGGACTGCAGAGTTGAAATGTGAACATAGTCGAAGTCGGAGTTTCCTATCATGCAAGCTATGTGAGTAATACCCGCTTGGAAGTCGTCTCATATGGTCAATGCAAACTTGTCTACCTAAAAATGTCAAGGTGAGATGATAGGATAGAGAGATATAGTGTGCACAACGATGAAGTCGATGTATCTTCATTCGTCTTTCGTACTCGTTATATATCCTTCAATGTCGTCTTATATGGTCATCGCAATCGTATATGCTTCAACTGTATGCATGTCAGATGCTAGACTGCAGAGTTACAGTGAACACATGGTCGAAATTGAAGTTTCTTGATCTGCAAGCTGTGTGCGTTATACCAGCTTGGGAGTCGTCTGATATGTTCAATGTGAACTTGTCTGCTCCAATAGTGTCTATGTGAGATAATAGGATAGAAAGATATAGTGTGCACAGCGCTGAAGTCGATATATCCTCATTTGCCTGTTGTACTCGCTACATACCCAAATTCGCCTTATATGGTCACTGCGATCGTATCTGTTTCAATTGTATACATGTCAGATGCTAGACTGCAGAGCTACAGTGTAAACATAGGCAAAGTCGAAGTTTCTTGTTCTGGAAGCTGTGTGCATTATACCCGCTTCGATGTCGTCTTATATGGTCAATGCGAACATGTCTGCTTCAATAGTTGTTACGTGTTCGTTCGTAAGACGGGAATATTTCGAGGTAGCACTCAAGAATTAGTTTTGTTTCGTCAATAATCATAAGCACTATGATACAGAGTATACAAGAGTACTACTTACCACTCGTACATAGGGAACTGTCGCATTCTATAGACCTCTAGGGGCGTGGGGAAATGAGTGACTACCAACAAATGATATTCATTTGCTTCATATTAGTAAACAGTGGTCTGACTATCTCATACCAAAGGTCATGAAGAACGTTGTTATTCATGGAAGGATAGTCGTGTTGCGTTCCAGTGACTCTTCTATGACAGTCCAATCAATAGAACTTATTCTCCCAGCCTAATTGGTTCTGCGGAGCCTTCAGTTACAATGTTCGACCCGAAAGGCCCCTTCCGAACCATAACACTTGTTTACCTGCAATTTATAACCTCAAACATATAAATAAATCAGAAATGACATGCGACAGCTCCAATTCTTCTTCTTTGCCGTTCTGGATTTCATGATAGGACCTTGCTCCTACGTTCACCTCGTCAGAGACGAGCTCGTGAACGAACGCCCCGATACTATACAGTCGATAACCCGGGATGCAGTTACCAACGGTAGGCATATTTAGTAGTTAGACATTGGTTTATCGGCCATAAGGTTAACCGGAGCGGTTAACTAGGATTGGTTGACAGATGACAAAGTGTAGTAGACCTTAGACATTGTTGCTCGAGGGTTGAGGCGGGGGAGAGAATCTGCGGGGAGTCAGGCATTGCAGGTTATAATCTTCCTGGTGGAATATTCACCTTCGCACTTATTGCGGATTTTGTCTGAAATAATAAATCGGAAAAACTATCGTGATTTGGTGGTTTTCGCACCACACCCATTGGGGATATTAAATTGACATAGTTATATCCGATTCCCAATTGTGAATCTTCCTTGCTTCCATAAATAACTTCCAGGCCACCCTTCATCCACAGGTATGTCTCATAATCAAATTATTATATTCCGAGCTTGATTATCCATGTCTGACCCTACTTCTTGTAGGCCTGTTAGTACTACCCTGAGTCCACTGGAACGCAGCGTTCTTAACTGTCCTGGCAGCCCTTGGTCCCAGATCAAGACGTCCAGTATCACGGTTGGTGCACCTAGATTAGTCGCTTAATCATATATCTTGCTTATAGAAGAGTTGCTAACCACTACTTGAAGAAATTTGCATGCACTGTTAATTGCTTCATAGTGCCGACTGTAGTAGGGACCCTCTGAAGGCCCCGACGTAGGATTAGAAGATTGTCCAGGTATGAGCTGTATCTACTAGAGATTGTCCATTATTGGCTAGACTATATACTGCTGGCTTGTTAGGGTTAAGTATCTGACTACATCCTTGTAAGATTTTTACTGATAGGTCTAACCCTGCGGCATCTCACTTGTAACCCCTTCAGGCGCAGATTTAGAGTTAATAAATAGTTTAAGTTGTCTTATGTGTTTCATTCAAGTCTCCTTCACCGGCCATTCCACGACCCATCTCACTGAGCGAACAAGGGTAAGCTGAGTTAACAAGTTTGTTCAAATTCAATTGATTTGTACAACTAACGCTTTAACGTTATCGGAATTTTTGTAATAAATTGAGTAACAAGTTGGCGCCCAAACGTGTACTGAGTTCGAAAATGTTTTGTGGCTGGTGAGGTGGAGATTTGGGTGAAATTGTTGTTTAAAATAGTATAAGATTCATTTAACACCTAAGGGTGGAAACAGTAAAAGTATAACACCAGGTTTATGTATAACTACTCATAGGTATACCTTAAGGTCGAAGTCTAGGGCGCACCTATATTACTACTATATTTGAAAAAACAAATCCCACATATAGTTGGTAAGATATATTACTGAATCTTGAGCAAATGTTTCAGATTGAGCGATTCCTAACAGGTGATTCAGTTCTTACAGTCTCACTGGAACATCGGTATATATAGGGCAAGCAGTTCTTCTTGGTGTAACTATCTATAAGCAAGATTCAAATTATAAAGTTAATCAAGTAATAATGAATTGAGCTCGAAGAGGGAAAGCTTATATCGAGTATATCAAAATAATCTCAAGAATAATTGGCTGATGAGTCGAATTGGGCCGAAAATATTCACTACATAAAGGCTATAGTTCGTATACAGGGTTCATTCAGGTGATTGTCCGAATTGATTCTGCAAGTACATTTTCGGCGACAGCATTATACAGGGTATTTTTGTTGCAGTTCAATTCATTTTACTTGGTGGTAAAATGAATTGAACTGAACGTTTGAACAAACGTGCTAGGGGAGTTGGTTGGTTCAGTTGTTCCAGAGTTTCTAATCAGTCCTGGGTTTAGTAAGGTGTGGGGTGGGGTTCGGTGTATATCTATATAATTTTTTTTTTTTTTAGTTGGAATCTGCAGGTCGGTGATCGGTGATATGAAATAATTGTTGAATTTCGGCAAGTGACCAAGAGTGAACCGACTATGGACGTGAATCGGTTATTAGGAGACGAACTCAGATACGAATTGTACATTCGCGGACAACCCTCAAATAATACGGTGGCAGACAATCGGGCACGAATACGAGAAGTATTTAGATCAGAGTGGCAAGGTGACATGACGCATTTTCCGAAGGTCTCCTTGTACTTCTACAATGAATTGGAAATTTGTAGTAGGAAACTTGAGGAATTGCAGCAAAATATAGATGACTTCGATCAGAACAACCGCGAGAACAAATATCGAAGAATTTACTCCAGGCTTTTACACATATCCGGTCGCTCGAACCGTCTATCAGGCAAGGACGTTGGGGAAGAAATATCAAGACTAAGAGTGGTGAATAAATGTTCCCAACTGATTGATAGACTACGTTCAGTGAATGAGGGACTGTATACAACTTTCAACTCCCAATATGGCGAGGAAACCGATTTCCTAACCGGCAGAGTTCCTTCCACGTCAGCCCCTCTTTAAAATCAGCACCAGCAGCCGTTCTTTCTTCCTGTTCCCGTTGAACCCAGCAGGAAGGAAGGTCAGTCTACATCACTCCTAGACACGCTAGTACCAAATACTGTTGAGGGCCCAGAATAGTGTGGAGCAGTCTCCTCTGATCTGGTTGATATTGGGGAGCCTCCCAGTTCTCCAACCGTAGAACCCCCTCCAACTCAATACGAACAGGATAAAAGGGACAGACCTTGGCAAGAAGGTTCCCAACCTAAACCCAGTCACCCAACTCAATACGAACAGGAGAGAAGGGACAGACCTTGGCAAGAAGGTTCCCAACCTAAACCCAGTCACCCAACTCAATACGAACAGGAGAGAATAGACAGACCTTGGCAAGAAGGGTCCCAACCTAAACCCAGTCACCCAACTCAATACGAACAGGAAAGAAGGGACAGACCTTGGCAAGAAGGGTCCCAACCTGAACCCAGTCACCCTACTCAATACGAGCAGGAGAGAATGGACAGACCTTGGCAGGAAGGGTCCCAACCTAAACCCAGTCACCCTACTCAATACGAGCAGGAGAGAAGAGACAGACCTTGGCAAGAAGGGTCCCAACCCAAACCCAGTCACCCTACTCAATACGAGCAGGAGAGAAGGGACAGACCTTGGCAAGAAGGGTCCCAACCCAAACCCAGTCACCCAACTCAATACGAACAGGAGAGAAGGAACAGACCTTGGCAAGAAGAGTCCCAACCCAAACCCAGTCACCCAACTCAATACGAGCAGAAGAGAAGTGACAGACCTTGGCAAGAAGGGTACCAACCTAAACCCAGTCACCCTACTCAATATGAGCAGGAGAGAAGGTACAGGCCTTGGCAAGAAGGGTGTCAATCCAAACCCAGTCCCCCAACTCAATACGAGCAGGAGAGAAGGGACAGACCTTGGCAAGAAGGGTCCCAACCCAAACCCAGTCACCCAACTCAATACGAGCAGGAGAGAAGTGACAGACTTTGGCAAGAAGGGTCGCAACCCAAACCCAGCCACCCAACCGGACGACCAGGTATCGACAATTATGAGAAAATGGTGGGAGAAACCTTTCAGGACGAGGGAGAGAAACTTGGGGTTCAAAGCAATGTAAATTGTCGTGAAAATAAATTCTTTGAATGGAAAAAGAACCCGCAAAACTATCCTAGAGAATCGCGTGACCGTGCAGCCAATTGGCCCCAATGTGGTTACCCGGATATGCCAGGCGGAACGGTTTCCCATGGGAAATTCCACTCACACGTACGTTTCGACCCTAATAATACTGCGACGGGGCAAGATCTGAGATATGCCTCTCGAATGGCTCAGGTTCATTCTACTCGATTCGACGAAGATTCGGGAGGTGGGCTACACCGTCAGATGGGAGCTCTTAACTTGTGCCTTGTTCAACATGGTCATGATGTCGCATCACCACCTCAGTGGGGAGATGTCCTTACCGTAGATCTTCCACGTTGGAACCTGTGGTTTAATGGCCGTACCAGCGTGAACGATTTCATAGAACGTGTGGAGGGAATTCGTCCAACGCGAGGCGTTTAAAAAAATCAGCTCTTGCGATTTGCGCCGGAGTTATTTGTCCAAGAAGCACTGCTGTGGTATAGAACGGGATACTTCTTGAGTTGGGATGATTTGGTCGCCTAGTTGCGCGGCGCTTTCAGACCCTATGACTATGGATTTAGTCTGTTGGACGAAATTCGTCGCAGGACACAGGGAGCACAGGAGCGGGTCTTGACCTCCATTATTGCTATGGAAAACCTGTTCAGAAAACTAGATCATCCTCCGGTCGAAGAGGTCCGTGTGAATCTAATGAGGAGGATCCTCCTCCCGCACCTACAAACACATCTCTCGCTTCAGGAGATCAAGACCATCAACGATCTCATCCGTCTTAGTCGCACGGTGGAAGAAACTGAGCTGCGGGCGCAAAAGTTTACCCCAACCCTCACTAAATACCGTAGTATGTTGGAGCCAGAATTGGCATATCGACGGCCGCAGCCATCTCCAGCACTTGCAGTGGTCACCACATCTCGACCCACCGTACCCATAGTTGAACAGTCTGGAACTCAATCAGCACTTAATGATGTTTCAAGAGGCCCCGCCATCGCCGCCACAGAAGCGCAGGCACTTCCTGTCAACCCCGCTACGATACCGACAACTATTCTGAGTCTCTGTTGAAACTGCGGTAGTCGACAGCATAAATTCCGGATGTGCCCTCAACCTCGCAAGAGGTTCTGTTCCGAGTGCGGACGTGAAAATGTATTTTCCAACTCGTGTCCTAACTGTCAAAAAAATGGGCAGAGGGGCCAACAGTGAGCCGGCTGATGGTTTCTCAATTCCAAACGGTTCCCCATGTCCAACAAATAATCTTAGACTATGTCCTAGCGCACGCTAAGCACGATTCAAGACCTTACCTACAAGTCACGCTGTATGCACAGCCGGTATTAGGTTTTCTTGATAGTGGTGCTTCCCACAGCATTATGGGTGGGCGAGGGTGGGTCATCCTCGAGCAAAGTTGCTCCTTAATGCCTCCCAACCAGCCCACCTGCACGGTGGCAAACGGCCAGACATGCGAAGTCCGCGGAATAGTATCCACTCCGATAGAGTTTTGTGGCCGCATAAAAGTAATAGAGGTGTTAGTGGTACCCTCTCAAACCCATCCTCTTATACTGGAGATGGAGTTTAAGCGTGCAATGCAGATCATTCCCGATATGTACTCGGGCGAATGGCACTTCCGGGACGACCAGCAGGTCACAATGGGCCAACCAGCCGTTGCTCTGAGCTCAGTGGACAATTTAACCGCCGAACGAAAGTCTATATTGGAGGCGTTAGTAGAAGAAACGTTCCAAGCGCTAGGCGACAAGTTAGGACGGATCAGTCTGGTCGAACATTTTATCCGAACAGATAGCCCTCCAATACGCAAAAGGCATTATCCCCTGTCACCCGCTCTACAGAAGCAAGTGAATGAAGAGATTGAGGAAATGTTGAAGGACGAGATCATCGAGCCTTCCCCAATTTTCCTGATACGGAAGAAAGACGGAAAATATCGGTTCGTAGTGGACTTCCGAGAGTTGAATGAGGTGACAGCGCGGGATGCCTACCCCTTACCATTCGTCAGTGCTACATTGGACAAACTGCGGAATTCTCACTTCCTGACAACCTTTGACATCAAATCAGCATATTGGCAGATTCCGCTGTCAGAAGAATCTGAGATCCTCACCGCTTTTGTGGTGCCAAATCGAGGGCTGTACCAATTCCGAAGGATGCCTATGGGGCTGCACAATGCTCCGGCCACGCGGCAGAGATTTATCGACCGTGTGGTGGGAGTGGACCTGGAGCAGCACGTATTCGTGTTCCTTGATGATGTTATAATTTGTACTCCTACCTTCGAGGAGCATATTGAGGTATTACGAAATGTACTCTCCCGTCTTCGAGACGCGGGGCTAACCCTCAATCGAGGAAAATGCCACTTCTGCAAGCCTGAGTTACGTTATCTTGACTACGTGGTTTGGGCGGGTGGCCTCATGGTTGACCCGGAGAAGGTGAAGGCCATAATGCGGATCCCGACACCAACCGGGGTAGAGGACGTAAGAAGAATTATTGGCTTGACATCTTGGTAACGCCTGTTCGTGCCAAATTTTCCTTCAATAACAGCACCACTCACCAACTTATTAAAGAAAAACCAAAAATTCGACTGGAATGAAACTTGTAACCAGGCATTTAATACTCTTAAAGGCCATTTAGTGTCGGCTCCAATCCTGTCTTGCCCAAACTTTGATCTGCCGTTTGTGGTACAGACCGATGCCTCCGATTTCGGTATCGGTGCTGTACATTCGCAGGTGCGGGAAGGGGGAGAAGAGGACCTCAAGACAGGAGGGAATGAAACGGTAATATGTTACTTGAGCCGTTTCCTTACCAAGGCCGGAAGAAAATTCAGCACCACCGAAAAGTAGTGTCTGGCGGTGCTGTATGCGATCGCGAAGTTCCGGCTATTCATTGAGGGCACCAAGTTCTTCGTATTGACAGATCATCACAGCCTCAAGTGGCTTAACAACAAAAAGGATCCAGTGGGACGGATAGCAAGGTTGGCTGTCCGGCTTAAACAGTACGATCTCGAAATCATTCATCGACGGGAAAAAGAACATGTGGTATCCGACTGTCTATCACGGGCGGTCCCCATGTGTCGATACTGTTGAACTGGACTGCCCTACCATTGATAATACCACCGATCGTTGGTTTATCGAAATGTCTGGACAGGTGAGTAGTGAACCAGAGAAATACCCGTAATGGAGGAAGGGAGGCGGGCAACTTCTCAAACGAGTATCTTGTTCTCACCCTGGCCTTCACTGGAAAAACGACAGCTGGTTGAGAGTAATGCCGAAGGAACGCAGGGAGGATATCATAAGGGCCCATCATGACCCTCCCACCTGTGGTCATTTGGGTATGTTAAAAACATTAGCCTGGGTCAGGAAGAGGTACTATTGGCCTGAAATGAGGCAGGATATTGCCCGATATATAAGACGGTGCCAGAGACCGCCTGCTGGACTAATGCTAAGCTCTGCCCCCACACTATGTCGTCCATGGCAAGCCTTGAGCATGGACATCATTGGACCTCTTCCTAGATCGGGGTCCGGATATTGCTATATTTTGTCTATCAGCGAAGTTTTCACCAACTATATTTTATTATTTCCTCTTCGGCAGGCCGTAGCCAAGAAAGTGTTTAAAAAAAAAGTGTTTTCAAAAGTGTTTTTAAAAGTGTTTTTAACCGCCAGCTTAGTTGCAAAGCAACCCTCGAAAGTCAGAGACTTGTGTGAGTTAAGAAGACGAGATCTTCGAGTATCAGGTGATTTTGATGTTTGGGGCCCCGCAACGCGTGATTATGGACAATGGGGTCCAATTCCGGAGCAAGGTCTTGATGGACATTTTCGCGAAATATGAGATCAAACCGGTCCACATTTCAAATTACCATGCTCAGGCAAACCCCGTCTAAAGAATTCACCGTGTAATCAGAACAATCCTAACGGCGTATGTTGGGACCAATCATCGTCGATGGGATAGATATCTTCAAGCCGTGGCGTGCGCGATACGCACCGCAAAGCATGAGGTGACGCAAGTCACACCCAACCTCATCATGTTGGGTCGAGAAATCTCCCTATGCGGTAAGAACGTACTGAGTACGCAACCGACGACTCAGGGTCTAGACCCAGTAATTTTCAACCCAGGAACACGGTCTGAAGAATTGAATACACTATTCAAGGATGTCGCGGCTCGACTCAAGAAAGACTTCGAGTCTAGTCGTCACCGGTACAACTTGAGGCGAAGAGATGAGACCTTTGAACTAGAACAGAGGGTTTGGGAAAAAAAACTATTCCCTGTCGGATGCCTTGAAGGAGATCACGGCAAAATTCATGCCAAAATACGAAAGCCCGTTCACAATGTCGAAAATTCCGTCTCCCTGGTCGTACGAACTGAAGGATGAGGATGGAAAGTCGCGCGGAGTATGGCAAGCCAAGGACATAAAGGCCCATCCTCCAGAAGATAACTAGCGATAATTTCAGTAATTATACGGCAACGAGTGCTGGCTAGAAAGAATATGGCTGCGAAATTATTAATCATAACGGCAGGAAGCTCAAGGACATGGGGTTATTACGAATTGTATGGGACCAGTATTTCGATTGATCAGCTTAGAGAGAATCCTTTTTTTTCTTTTCTGTTTCTTTTTTTCTTAATTACGTAAGAGGAGAGTTGTTACGTGTTCGTTCGGAAGACGAGAATATTCCGAGGTAGCACTCAAGAATAAGTTTTGTTTCGTCAATAATCATACGCACTATAATACAGAGTATACAAGAGTACTACTCACCACTCGTACATAGGGAACTGTCGCATTCTATAGACCTCTAGGGGCGTGGGGAAATGAGTGACTACCAACAAATAATATTCATTTGCTTCATATTCGTGAACACTGGTCTGACTATCCCATACCGAGAGTCATGAAAAACGTTGTAATTCGTGGGAGGATAGTCGTGTTGCGTTCCAGTGACTCTTCTATGGCAGTCCAATCAATAGAACTTATTCTTCCAGCCTAATTGGTTCTGCGGAGCCTTCAGTTACATGGTTCGACCCGAAAGGCCCCTTCTGAAACATAACACTTGTTTACCTTCAATTTATAACCTCAAACATATGAATGAATCAGAAATGACATGCGACAGCTCCAATTCTTCTTCTTTGCCGTTCTGGATTTCATGATAGGACCTTGCTCCTACGTTCATCTCGTCAGAGACGAGCTCGTGAACGAACACCCCGATACTATACAGTCGATAACCCGGACCGCAGTTACCCACGGTAGGCATATTTTGTAGTTAGACATTGGTTTATCGGTCATAAGGTTAACCGGAGCGGTTAACTAGAATCGGTTGACAGATGACAAAGTGTAGTAGACCTTAGACATTGTTGCTCGAGGGTTGAGGCGGGGGAGAGAATCTGCGGGGAGTCAGGCATTGCAGGTTATAATGCTCCTTGTGGAATATTCACCTTCGCACTAATTGCGGATTTTGTCTGAAATAATAAATCGGAGAAACTATCGTAATTTGGTGGTTTTTGCACCACACCCATTGGGGATATTAAATTGACATAGTTATATCCGATTCCCAATTGTGAATTTTCCTTGCTTACATAAATCACTTCCAGGCCACCCTCCATCCACAGGTATGTCTCATGATCAAATTATTATATTCCAAGCTTGATTATCCATGTCTGAGCCTACTTCTTGTAGGCCTGTTAGTACTACCCTGAGTCCACTGGAACGCAGCGTTCTCAACTGTCCTTGCAGCCCTTGGTCCCAGATCAAGACGTCCAGTATCACGGTTGGTGCACCTAGATTAGTCGCTTGATCATATCACTTGCTTATAGGAGAGTTGCTAACCACTGCTTGAAGAAATTTGCATGCACTGTTGCTTGCTTCATAGTGCTGACTGTAGTAGGGACCCTCTGAAGGCCCCGACGTAGGATTAGATGATTGTCCAGGTATAAGCTGTATCTACTAGAGATTGTTCATTATTGGCTAGACTATATACTGCTGGCTTGTTAGGGTTAAGTATCTGACCACATCCTTGTAAGATTTTTACTGATAGGTCTAACCCAGCGCCATCTCAGTTGTAACCCCTTGAGGCGCTGATTTA